AGGCTGGTTTGATTTAACATCTTTAAAACTTGAACAAACTGAACCGTTTTCCTGACGTCTTCGTTAAATGTTGGTGACTTGTTTCGGTGAAACTCCTGCTGGGGTTCAGTTTAGAACTGTTTTCTGTTTTAGTTTGGTTCTAAAGCTTCAAACTGCTGAACAAATTCAGACAAATGATCTAAAATATTTGTTTTTTCTGGAAACTGAAAACCACTGTTTAATTTATTTTTAGTGAATCTGATCGTTAACCAAACTGCGAGTTGTCCACATCTTCAGGACAAAGTTCTTCTCTGTGCAGGTTGGACTCTGCCAGGCCTGCTCCTGGTCTCTGATCCTGTTTGTGGGGTTCCTGGAAATTTGACTCTAATTAAGTCAAACATTTCTGCCAGTGGAGTAATAAAATGTTACTTGGAAAGATCCTTGAAATACTTGATTTGACTCAATTTTTTTCTTATTTCAAGAATCTTATCAAGTAAAATGTTCTTACTCCACTGGCAGAAATGTTTACTTAATTTGAGTCAAATTTTCAGACTAACAAGACAAATAATCTTACACATTCTGAAAACAAGATGATTATTCTTACACAATCAGTTCTTGTTTACTAAATCAGTCTCAAAACAAGATCAAAAAGACTTTTTGGCTGATATAAGGTTTTAAAACTTGGTCAGATGGACAGTTTCTGCAGTCTGGTTTAGGAACCACAGGGTCTAGTTTCAGCTTTAGCAGATGATGTGGTTCCGTTGGTGGACCATGGCCTTCAGAGGACCTCTGAGTCTGAGACAGGGGCGGACTGGGGCAAAAAGTGGCCCAGGAGTTTAGTACCTGACTGGCCCATTCAAGCTCTGGGCTGGCAGATGATGTCTGCAGATGATGGAGGCGGAAGCAGCAAACATCACCTCAGGGCACTGTACGAAATCTAAAGATGTAATGTTGAGGAATTAGTAAAGTTATTAAGCTAGCAGAGCAGCAGTTAGCTCACAGGCATTGACCCTCAGAGTTCCTTATGGTCATTTTTAACTCTTTTTGATTTTCCCCTCAAAAATAACCTTATTTTAATCTAATGTGGCATCATTTTCTTTTTCCAGCACAACATGAACTGTGTGAATTTAAACTATTTTTTTTCATTTGAATATGCTGTTATTGTACATTAGACAATAAATAAATAAATAAATAAATAAATAAATAAATAAATAAATACCAGTAAAGTAAAATAAAATAAAAATTCAAGTTTGCAAAGTTATTTGTAAAACCCACAAACATTTTGGATTTTTATCTTTTAGAATGCCAATGTATGATGTAAATTTCTAAAACTGATGTGAAAACATTTTAAGCAACAGTTTTATAAAGTTATCAGCTACTGAGCACAGTTTGGACCTAGTCCACACATGATAATGGCTTTATTTATTTAACAGGTAAATGCATTGTTTTTAAAGTTAGCAAACTAGAAACAAAGACAGCCACCTCCATGACTACCATCCTCCTGGTGATGTTGTTCTCCAGACATAGGTTCCAGTGAGGATGAGGATGATGATGCACCAGCAGAAAATAAATGTCAGTTTCTGACACTTGGCTGAATTTGCTTGTAGAGGCTTTTTCTTTACTCTCAATTTTTGTTTTCCTCCCTTACGTTTATTCTCCATTTTTGCTCTTCTTATTTTTATTATTCCTTTTCTTCTTCTTACTGCTTCTTCCTCTTCTTCAGCAAACTTTTCTTCTGCGGTCTTTGTTGGTGGTTGGTAAACAATGAATTGGTGCATTATCGCCATCTACTGGTATTGAACACAACTACACAACTTTTTTTTCCCTCTCTGCCTGCACCGGCCCAGTGATGCACCAGCCCACCGGGAAAAGTCCCGGTACTCCCGACGGCCAGTCCGCCCCTGGTCTGAGGTCCTGGCTCTCGTGGAGTGCCCCTCTGGGTCAAGTATCTGAGAGGAGAATTGTTCAGTAATGAGCGCGTTGCTCCAGTCAGTTGTGGTGAAAATGGTCCAACCTTCACTTTTAGTCTTGAGGTTCAGAATGGCTGTTTGTGTGTAAGTGTTCTGTTCAGTTCGATTCGATTCAATTCAATTAATTTTGTTAAAAACATTAGTTTTATTTAAACTGTGATTTAAAGCATCAGCCTTCATGATTAAGCATCTTTTATTCATTTAAAAACATAACTAATGTGGAAGATTAAGCCCCTCAGCTCGTATCAAAGCTGTTCGGTGGTCCGGCCCGTCGGGCCAGCGATTCCTCAGCCCATGGGTCTGATAGTTCTGCATGAAGGGCCAGCCTGCTGCCGTGTTTCCATAGGCTCCGGTGGAATAACAACCGTCTGGAAACTTAACCCGGCTGCCGTGTAGCCCTGGGCCCCCGCAGAAAACTCTGGAAATCTTTGAACCAAGCGTCTCAGTCAGACAAGCAGACCCAAACATTTCTGTCATCTGATACACAATAAGAGGGAAAAAAAAAACACATTTCTGCAGTTCCTGAGGGAGAAAACTGAATTTTCTCTGCTTGTAACAGCGCCGAGGATTTCATTTAATCCATTTATCAAAATCTGGGATTAAAAAGATAAAGTTTTTCTAAAACTGCATGAATACCTAATAAAATGTTTCAGCTTTTTAATAAAAACTTCTACTGAGTCGTTCAAAACCTGTCAATCAAATTGTTTAAATATTTGATTTACTTGAATGAACATTCAGAGTATTTAAAGATGATCTTAATTAACCATCTGTTGTAGATGGCTCTTTGAACATCCTGAGTTTCAGCTCACACACAAGTGATGAGCTAACGGCTAGTCTGAATGAAGTCAGGTCGAGCGAGCAGCTTCACTGTAATGAAATGTTTTAATTTCAGGGTGGAGGAGAACAACGATCTTCTGCTGTTCTTCAGAACTTTAAGGGCGTTCTCAGACAGGTGTGACGATCGGACCAGAACCTTCCAACACTTCCAGGTGAGCGAACGTTCTCCGTACCTGCTCAGTCTGTGACGGACCCGCGAGGCTTTTCCTCTCAGATGATGATGATGATGTCACCACAGATTTTGTTCTTGGGGTTTGTTGAACATTTATTTGTGTTCAAACCTCTTCAGGTTTTACATTTAAATGAGAGGATTGATGTTCTGAGGAGCCAACTTTAATGTTTGCAGCTCTTCTGATGTTGAAGGACGAAGTGATAAAGAGTCCAGCAGGTGTTTTCGTTCTGTTTGCAGTAAATTTTCAGGCTGGAACTGAAAACCGTTGGAGTGAAATGTCACTCTGCGGAGGATGGAACATTTGCTCCTGTTTTCTTGGAGGAGGTGTCGCTCGGCCAACTTGGCTGCGCTCGGAGAGAATTAAACCACATTTTCCATGAAAGTTTCAAACACTTTATTTTGCTTAGCATGCATCTTTGCTATGGAAAGTGTCGTTCCTGCTCTGCTGTGATGCAAACTTCACCGACACGCAGACACAACTTTACTAAGACGAATAAACACGTAAAACAACAACAAACTTGCAGGATTAGAGAAGATCAGAGAGCTGAACCTTTACTGGAGACTGCAGGATTATGGTGCGGTATGAGGGCCAAAATTAGGACCACTGCTCAACCAGCAGTTGTTATATCCTTGTAGCAGGAGGCTATATCTATTCCTAATCAGCTATTAATCTGATTAATGGTAGGCCGGCACTGCTAACTGAGAGGCTGGAGCTGGCAAATGAGAAGGAGACTTTTCATTTGTGTTAGCATCAGAGGCAAGCGACTAGCATAGATAATCTTGTGTTAGCATCAGAGAGGCTAGCAACTAGCATGGATAAGCTGGATTTAGCATCAGAGAGGCTAGCAACTAGCATGGATAAGCTGGCGTTAGCGTTGGAGAGGCTAATGAATAGCATGAATAAGTTTGCATTAGCAGTGGAGAGGCTAGCGACTAGCTTGGATAAGTTGGCATTAGCATTGGAAAGGTAAGCGACTAGCATGGAGAAACTGGCATTAGCATTTGAAAGGCTACCAATTAGCATGGTAAAGCTGGTGTTAGCATCGGAGAGGCTCGTAACTAGCATGGATAAGCTGGCATTAGCATTGGAGAGGCTAGTGACTAGCATGGATAAGCTGGCATTAGCATTGGAGAGGCTAGTGACTTGCATGGAGAAGCTGAAGTTGGCGTCGGAGAGGCTAGCAACTAGCATGGATAAGCTGGCATTGGCATCAGAGAGGTTGGCAACTAGCATGGACACGCCAGCGACCAACTTGGACAAGCTGGTGTTAGCATCCGAAAGGCTAGTGACTAGCATGGATAAGCTGGCATTAACATCGGAGACTAGTGACTAGCATGGATAAGCTGGCATTAGCATCAGAAAGGCTAGCGACCAGCATGGATAAGCTGACATTAGCATCAGAAAGGCTAGTGACTAGCATGGATATGTTGGCATTAGCATCAGAAATGCTAGTGACTAGCATGGATAAGCTGGCATTAACATCAGAGAGGCTAGCAACTAGCATGGATAAGCTGGCGTTAGCATCGGAGAGGCTAGCAACTAGCATGGATAAGCTGGTGTTAGCATCAGAATGTTTTGTGACTAGCATGGATAAACTGGCATTAGCATCAGAGAGGCTAGTAACTAGCATGGATAAACTGGCGTTAGCATTGGAGAGGCTAGCGACTAGCATGCCTAGGCTACTCACCTACCTTATTAGGCATGGATAAAAGCAACTCATGGAAATAAAGACTTGTGGGAATATTAGAAGAAATAATTAAATATAATCATTTAGGAGACACAAACACACGTACAAGTAAAAGGAAAAACWAAAATATATTTTTAAAACAGTAAAATTTAAATTATCTTCCAAAATATATAATTTATTGGAACTAAGCTGGAAAAATAAATATAAAAACAATGATAAATAAAGTTCTCCTTTTTAATTTAATTGATGCATTTTAAGTGTATTTATATAATTATTGGTCCATTTATATACAGTATTTCTGCTTTTATTTTTAATTATGTCAGTTTAGTCCTCCACATAAAACACACAAATACATTTTAATTAAAAACAGTTTATTAAAATATCCTTAATTATAATGTTACACCTTTCTGCACATTGCTGCTTATTCACATCAAATAAAACCTCTGAAGTGATTTTACTGAATTACAAAGGAGGCAAACATTTAACAAAGAGTAACTTTCACATTACTGAAGATCATAAATGCATCCAGTCCAACTTTACTGGAGTCTATAAATTAAAAAAACAAATCCCTATATGACCGTTGTCTGCATGTCCATACAGACTTGTCCAACATTTATATTTTATAATTAAAGCTCATTTAAACACTGAGACGTCTCTGACACACAGGAAACATTTAAACCGTTTACGCTTCACAACATTTAGCTGAAGAAAAGAAGACTACAGATCAACATGCATATATCAAGTTTTCCTTCTGCAAGACTTACATCACTTAAACCCGGAGCTGAAACTTTCTTTATTAAACTTGTAGAAAAGTCCTTTTTGACTCCTAAACCCCAGCATGCTTCAGAGATTGTCTTTAAGAAATGAAGCCAAAACGTTTGTTTGAAGGCAAAAATCAAAACTGAAATAAGGAATATTTACTCAAACTTCTATAAAGTTAGGGTCCTTCTTGGGTGTTTTTTATTTGTTTAAGTTGTAACAGAATAAATCGTAATGTTTGCTGCAGTTTTCTCTTTTTAAATAAAGAACATTACAACAAAAACATAATTTCTATCAGAAATCCAGCTGTGGATGTATACGGTCAGATCATTCCAGGACACCAGGGTGTGGTGAATTAATTGATCTGCCTCTGAAGCCTCAGTGAACCGTTTCGTTTGGACCCGACACTGAAAACAAACTGTTTAATAATCTTTATTCCCGCTGTGGGCCCAGCTCTCCAAAGTCCAGAAGGTCTCAGTACCCCTCAGTGCTTTGTTGCAGGGTCACTGCTCCGTCAGCAACAAAGGGGCTACAGTACAGTCAGTGTCTCTTCAGCGGTACTGACCCACAGGAAGAACTTTCATACAGGTGAAGCTGTCGGGGTTCTTGGACAGAACCACCGGGTTTCCGTCCATACGGACCTCGGAGAGACTCGGTCTTAGGTAGTAGGTGTCGTTGGACCTGCAGAAGGTGTCCTTGTTCACGTCAGTGATGTTGTTGTTCTGGAAAAAAAGATAGAAAGATAAAAATTAGTTTAAACATTATCTAAAATAAAATTAAAAATTGAAGTTGGAATAAAGTGCCAAGAAATCTGACTTTAAATAAACAAAAACACCCAACAGATTCTGCCGTGACAGAAACTAAAAGTTAAAGATGATTTATTCAGTAGTTCAGGATCTGCAGTGGGACCACCTTCACCTGCAGCTACAGGTTTGTCTTACCATGGTCCTCTTATCTGGGGTCAGGTCGCAGGGGCAGCAGTCTAAGCAGAGAGACCCAGACTTCCCTCTCTCCAGACTCTTGGACCAGCTCCTCTGGGGGAATCCCAAGGTGTTCCCAGACCAGCTGAGAAACATAGTCCCTCCAGCGTGTCCTGGATCTTCCTCTGGGTCTCCTCCCAGTGGGACATGTCCAGAACACCTCACCAGGGAGGAGTCCAGGAGGCATCCTAACCAGATGAACCACCTCAACTGGCTCCTCTGGATGTGGAGGAGCAGCAGAGTCCCTCCTGGATGACTGAGCTTCTCAGCCTATCTCTAAGGGAGAGCCCAGCCACCCTGCAGAGGAAACTCATTTCAGCTGCTTGGATCTGTGATCTCCTTCTTTCAGTCACTACCCAAAGCTCCTGACCATAGATGAGGGTAGGAACGTAGACCGACTGGTAAACTGAGAGCTTCACCTTCTGGCTCAGCTCTCTCTTCACCACGACAGACCGGTACAACACCCGCATCACTGCAGACGCAGCACCAATCCACATGTCGATCTCACGCTCCATTCTTCCCTCATTCATGAACAAGACCCTGAGATACTTAAACTCCTCCACTTGGGGCAGGACCTCCTCCCTGACCCGGAGGAGGCACCCTACCGGTTTCTGGCTCAAGACCATGGTCTGGGATTTGGAGGCACTGATCTTCATCCCATCTGTGAATGGCTCCAGTGAGAGCTGGAGATCAGGATCTGATGAAGCCAATAGGACCACATCATCCACAAAAAGCAGAGATGTGATCCTAAGGTCACCAAAAAGGATCCCCTCAACACCTTGGCTGTTCCTAGAAATTCTGTCCATTAAAGTTATGAACAGAATCGGTGACAAAGCACAACCTTGGTGGAGTCCAACTCTCACCTGAAACGAGTTTGACTTACTACCAGCATTGTGGACCAAGCTCTGACATCGGTCCTACAGGGACCTAACAGCCCGTATCAATGGGCCTGGTATCCCAAACTCCCAGAGTACCCCGCACAGGAGTCCCAGAGGGACACGGTCGAACACCTTCTCCATGTCCACAAAACACATGTAGACTGGTTGAACTCCCATGATCCCTCCAGGACCCTGCTGAGGGTGTAGAGCTGGTCCACTGTTCCACAACCAGGACCAAAACCACACTGCTCTTCCTGAATCCGAGATTCAATTATCTGACGGACCCTCCTCTCCAGGACTCCTGAATAGACCTTTCCAGGAAGAAGAATAAATTTACTGCTCTTCTATCTTTGAAGGGTCAAAGGGCATTTAAGGCCATTCTACAGACAAAGAGTATTCACAAGCCACCGACCTTCACCCTGAAGGGCAGACCATACAATAATCTCAGACTCTACAGGCTCTACTCTGAAGGTCAAAGGTCACGGCCTCTCTAAAAACAACATGGTGGCACAATTTAGTTTCATCTGAATGAACCACAATACTTCTGAAAAAAAAAACCAAGCCTAAAGACACACGTTTACCCAGAATGCACTGCAACAAAGAGCTCAGCCGTCAGCATGGTGGTGGAGGGCTGATGGTTTGGACTCCTTGCAGTCACTGAGTGGACCAATGAGGTCCTGAGGACCTTTATGTTTCTGTTTTATAAATAATGACTTGATGGAATCTGTTTTTCTACACTTCAGATTGGATCTGAAACATTTTGGAACCTGATAAATTTATATTTTCCCATTGTTTATATGAAAAATAAAGAGTTACAACATTCAAACCTGTAAATGTAAGATCCGGACCGTCTCTGGGATGTAAGGAACAGCTTCCAGTTGGTTGTTAGCCAGGTACAGGGTGGCCAACTTAGACAGTTTCTGCCAAGGAGAAGGAAAAATAAAATCACAAAGATGTAGCAGATGTAGCAGTCGCCCCAAACAACGAGGCCGTACCTTGAAGGCGTTGGCTTTGACACCTTTGGTTTTCAGGAAGTTGTTGTTTGCGTTGAAGGCGGTGAGCTTGGTTGGCAGTGTTGGAAGCTTGACGAGTCTGTTCTCGGCCAGAGTCAGCTCCTCCAGTAGGGTGAGCTTAGAGAAGGCTCCGTCATCGATGTCTGAGATCAGGTTCCCCGTCAGGTCGATCCTCTTCAGAGTCGCTGTGGACCCATCAGGATCAGTTTAATACAGAGTTTTACATTTATCTATTCAAAAACATGTCGTCTGATAAATGATGACTCAGCATTATCACAGGCAGTTTAAACTGAGGGGTATTTCAGACGCACCGGTGTCACCAAAGTCATTTTTCTTGATCTTCTTGATCATGTTGAAGCGGGCGTACAGGTATGCAGTTTCTTTGGGCAGAGGGGGGACCGTGACCATGTTGACCTCCTCACAGTACACAGACTTAGACAGGCAGACACACAGCAGGCAGGTGGGAAGTTCTACCACACAAAAAGAACAGAGTCAGTTAGAAGGAAAAGGTTTCTGTTGTGGTTCCGATAACAATCCTGTCCAAACCCAGCATGACCTGGAGTGCCTCTCGCTCTCTCAGAACCCTTACAGATGGACTCGGATCACCTCGCTGAGGTCTCAGCTGATCCAGTTCCTGTTTGGAGCTGGGTGCGGGTGTTTCGGATGTTCTTACCGGTGCCTTCTCCCGGTGCAGGGGTGTTGTCAGGCTCATCAGCAGGAATCAGTGCCCTCTGCAGGAGGAAGCAGGCTGTGTTCATTTACCAGACAATAATAATAACACAAGACATTTAGAACAAATTCAACTGTTGTTAGTGAATCTGCTGCATAAAAATGCTTTTAAAAAGAAACAAGGACAGAGGATTGTGTTGGGTGGAGGGGATGTGGTTCAGGGTTTTGGGGATAAGAAGTTGTTTCAGATTTCAGAGTTTCGGATGTTGTGCAGCTTCTGATCGTGTGTTGCAGTGATCAGTCTGCAGCCTCAGAGAGGGAAGCACAGGATGAATAATATTCTGTTCAATGTTAACAAACATTAATATTAAAACTGAATGTTTCTCCCATGCTCTGTCGTTCAACAGATAAGTTTGTAATCCACATTATTGCTTTCTCTCATTTTTGTTTGTTTTTAAAGTTTCCATGTCACCGTTAAAGCTTTGGTTTGGGTTTGACTGTTTCTGTTGGCTTTTGTGAGCAATCTTCAGTTTTCTGTGGATATCAGAGAAAACTTCATTTAATCACACTAAACCCTTGTAATGTTAAATAAAAGGTGCTGCCCCTCTGCTCCCTCACTGTTCCAGCAGTGGTACTGCATCAGGTTTTGTCCTAAGTGGCTGCACCTGTTCCACCTGGAATGAAGCCCGTCGAGGCTTGAGTCGGATCATGGCTGTGGCTGCTGGGATGATATGTTAAAGGCTTTTAGTTGGCTGTTTTTAATAATAAAAAACTCTCATCTAGGTTGTAACACTCATTGATTACAGACTGGCATAGCGTCCTGAGGCGTCGCCAGCTGAAAGAAGGAAAATCAAACGGGGCATGGTTACGACGCCCTTCTAGATAAATGCCTGAATTGGGGGCTCGTCCGGGATGTTTAGAACTTGGATTAAAGACTGAACCTGACTGGTTCTGTAGAGTAAATTGAAAGAAGTATGTTGCAACTAGGGCTGCATGATATTAGAAAGTCTTGTGATGGTGATATCAGGTGCGATATGTCTTTTTTTTAATCTTTCCTTCCTTTCTAATCTGTATTTCCTACTTTATATGACCTTTAGCATTTTGGCAATGTTGTGTCTGGTGTGAACTTTTGCTATCATCAGACTCTGTCCTGCTGACTAAATATTGCATTAACATGAAAAATATAACTTTAAAACTCTTCAGTGCAATAGTCAATAGTTATTGCACTCCAAGCAATTCTCTGTGATATAAATATTGCGGACACTGATATTGCGATAACGATATTTGTGATATATTGTGCAGCTCTAATGTAATTTTCTGTTCCTGTTCCTCTCACAAAACAGAACTTTTTTAATGTTTATCTTTGTTCCCAGCAGACTGTTACAGTTTGTTTCCATTTCTTTTATTGAATCTATGAAAAACACCAAAGATAAATTATTAAACAAGAATCCATGTTTCTTTCTTTTGTGGGTTATAGTCGTTGGTTTGAGTGTGAGGAAAGCACAAAGCTTCATCTTGTCAGATGTCCTGTGTTCAAACATGGAAACCATAAGTTGACCTTTAGCCCCTGACCTAAAAACATTCAGGAGGAAGTGATTCCTCACCTAACGATGGTTATTTAAACCTTTAGCCCTAAAGTTGAGGTCTTGATCTGCAGGTTTTCTTCTGAAAACCATCTTTGAATGTGGAGAACGAAGGAACCAGAACGTAAACGGTCTGAAACACCACTGATCCTGTCAATGGTTTAAAACTGCCTTCATGTATTAAAACGTGAAATAAGTCACACTGCTGGTGACAAGTCAACAGACCAATCAGGAGCCGGGGACACAGATTACCTCTGAAGTGGTTCAGCTGGACTCTCTGAGGAGGTTTTGGACTCTCTGGTTCCATATGAAGCTCGTTAAAACTGAACTTATGTTTTATAGTTTTGTTGTCTCTCACATTTCTTTCTTCTGCGGATTGTTTTTGTGTTTTTATTTTCTCCTTTTCCTGTAAGCCAGACAAATTAGACCAGATGTTGGTTTGAATCCATCCGGAGCTCAAGGGTTCTGCGGTCCGATAAGTGTTGGTGGGAGCTGATTTAGGGTTTGGTTTGTTTGTTGTGACAGGAATCAGAACGTGACGGACTGAGACAAGGAGGATTTATGTGCTGGAGGGGGGGCACATGTGGTCGTTATACAAGAAGAAACAAATCTGATTAACTGGACAAACAGTGGAGATGCTCTTTAATTCAGGCACATTTATCACCATTTATCACAAGCGTGGCTCAGTCAGGAATCTTCTTTTACACTTTTTATATTAAAAATCAGCTCTTTGTGTCTTCTGTCAGTGTCTCTGTCCGTCTTGGGGTTTGTGGTTGTGCTTTGAGCAGTTAAATTCTTCAAATCACAACATATTTTTGAGTTTATAACTCGCAAACAGGTACCTGTTAACAGCTGCTTGTGATTTATACCTGATTTTCTGGAGAAGATTTTTCAAACATTTTGATTTTTAAATCTGGATGAAATATTCTTTTAAAGCTAAACTTATTTCAGACTTTATTCTCATTTTAAATTTTTTTAAACCCAAATGAAATGAGTGTAGTTTTGATTTAATTTTATAGGCAGTTAGTAGGGGTGCAACGATACAGAAAATTCTCGATTCGGTTCGATACTTTAGTCTCACGGTTCGATATTTGTTTCGATACAAAAAAGAGAAATTTCCGTGTCCTTTTAAACTTGTAATTTATTTAAATTATTTCTGAACATTTGTTTAACCTCAAAAGTACAGTTTTTAAATTAAATGTTGCAGAAACAAGTTTCTCGGTGGATCTGCTCTCAAAAACGCAGCCTAGGTGGAGTAGTCGAACACAGATCCACTGATCCTTCAACACAGAGCATCTTCAGAAGACAAGTTGATAAAGTCAATTTAAAAAATCTGTATTGTTCCATACAAAGTGTGTGTTGAACCTAAAGCACTGTTCGATACGGGTACCTGTGTTGTTGCACCCCTAGAAGTTAGTTTATTTACAACCATGAAAACATCAATTTTAAAGTTAAAAATTAACAAGAAAACAACTCATTTGCTAAAAAACTAAACTGGGACTCGGAGCAGAAAAAGTGATGAAACCTGGATTATTAAAGTTGTTTAAAGAGAGATTATTAAAGCAGAGAGGTGTTATAGGAACAGGTTAGTTCTCACCTTCGGTCTCCTCCAGAAGCCACTGAGGTATCCTGCATTCAGCTGCCGCTCAGGTAGAGCTCCTCGTGCGAGCCGTGCGTTGTGCTCGAACCTGCGGGCTGAAGCTGCTGCCAGCCACAGGACCAGCGCGCAGGTGAACAGGAGCTCCTTCATGCTGTGCAGAACGTAAAGCCTGAGCTTGGGTCAGCAGCTCGTCCTCCCGTCTGGATGAGTCAAATGTCTGTGTTTAAGGGCTGAACTGCGAGCTTCCAGCCGACTCTTAAAGCTGAGTTTATAGAGCGCAGCACTTTAACCCTTTCCACACCAGCCTCCATCCAAAGCCGCCGAGGAGCAGAGCTAGACACACAAACATGCCGAGGACCCCCGGCTGCAGAGGAGAACGTCTTTAAGAACGTGTGCAGCAGGGAAAGCTGAACCCTGACAGCTGTTTTGTCTGGAGGAATGTCTGCAGAACCGCTCTGTAATGACTAATAATCAGAGCTGCTCTCATTAGGATCTGCTTGTTTTGCTCCTGCAGCTTCAGGCTCAGGTTGTGGGTTTGAAACCACGATGGATTTTCTCACGGTGCTCCAGTTTCCTCCCCCGTCCAGAACCTTACAGGTTACCTGGTCTGGAGCCTTTTTCAGATTATTACTGGTATCAGGACTGGTAGTTCTTATTGTGACCAAAGCCAGTTTTTATGATTCATTTCTGAAAATTTAAATAAAATGAATCCATTTTTCTAATAGACAGAAAAATAAATATAATTAGATGATTACCTGCCTTTTTGTAGCAATAATATCAATATCTATTTTTCTATCCTCATTTGTTTTAAAGTGATGTTTTAAACCACTTGTCAAACTATAGGCCTGAGGGCCAAATGTGGCCCACCATGACATTTTCTGTGGCCCGCGAGAGCTTCAAAGTAGAGCTGGGCGATATGACCCAAATTTTATATCACGGTATTTTCAACAATTACACCGGTTTCAAGGTATTTGACGGTATTTTTTTCCTCACAGTACAGCTGATAATAAAATGTACAAACTTTGATTATTGACTTTTTTCTTTTACTGTACCTCTGAAAAGGCCTGTCGCGATAGTCAATAAATCAATTAATTGCATGATAAGTTATTTTGAGGTCGGTAAAAAAGATGAGGACGATAAGTTTCATTTTCCTGCTTGTTTGTTTACTTCGTCTCTCTCCCTCTCTGTGCTCCGCTYCACAGGAGCTCAGCTGACTCCTCCCCTCCTGTTTTCTTAGTGTCGGGAGGAGTGAACTCTCACTTTAGCATGAGAGTTCGTAGCAATAACAAACTAAAGAAACGTTTCAAAGCAGAACGCGGCTGCTGCAGTGCAGCAATTGCAGAGCCTGAAATTCGCTGCGGGGAGAGAGAGAGACTTTGCATTGACTTTCATTCATTTACCAGTATTTTCTATGTAGGAATTACTCCATGAAATTAGGACCAGCCTAATCTTCATAAAGATAATCCAGCAAGACCTTGCAAAAATGAAATCAGACTTTAATGAAATACCCCCCTGATCATGAATGAGAAAAGAACTTGTGACCTGGTCAGGTTTCTCAAAATAAAGTAATTTATTTTAGACACATGAACAGAATAAACATACAAATATTTGCTAAAATTATTATATGGATAAATGACACAAGTTATAATTTTTATAAAAAATTCCACTCAGAGTTGACAAAAACAGTAAATTTCAGGTGTAATAATTCACTGGCACACAGCTTACTAAGTTTTTAAGTAAATAAGAGAGAAAAAGGTAAAGGTTTAGCTTTAAGAAATAGGAGGAAAAGAGAATTAGTAAATTTGGCACTGTTCTTTAAATCAGACCTGACCAGCACCAACTGTCAGACTGCGACACCTCCGAGGGCTAGACTTCAGCTCCGACGTTTATCTCATTAAAACTCTTTGTCTACCTTTTGATGGCTTGATGAAGACCACAGGCAGGTGGACGGTTTCGAGAGAGAGTCGGTATACAGTCCGCACAGGTGGATAGTGTCCGTCATTGACAGCAGGGGGTTTGAGAAGACGCCTCGTCTCACCCCAGCGAGCCTCCAGGCTCTAGGCTCGGTCTTAGTCAGGTGCTACTCGGTGGCATGTTAGTCCCATCCACGCAGGTGTCCAAAGATGGACTTCACTCCTCAGAGAAAGACAGAACCATCCGCCCAGCCGAACAGACAACGAACAACTAGTTGTTAGCTGGTGAGAACAGAAAGTTAGATCTTGAGAGGGAAAAACAAGAGAGTGAGAAAGAAAAACAACCTGACTTCTCACACTTGGTTCGGCCAGCTGGTGTTGTTATCAGCAGAAAACCTTGAAGCTGCAAAGGCAGCTTTCCTTCTGTCTTAAAAATCACACCACTGCACAAATGGATTAATAATGAAATGAATAGCACACAATATTAATCATTAAACCAATTAAGGAAATGATAAACCATGACTAATAATAGTACTAAGAAAAAACATTAAAGCACATTTCAACTCTTTTTTCTTCACATTGTTATACTCTGGAACAAAGAGAGATGCAAAGATTAATTCAATAAAACTTTGAGTATATTGATTATAACCTCTTTTAAAAGATTAAATGAGATAATATATATATAGGACTTTGTCCTATTCACTTAAAGAAAATAAAAAACACTTTAAAATGATTTCTTCTTATAAGTGTAAAAAATAAAATCAAAGACAAAGAAAAAAACAATAGAAAAGTTTTTTTTTCACCAGGGTTACCTCTACATCTATTACCATTTGACCCTAAACCTAGCCTACACTTTACATGGGATGTGAACTGGGCTTATGTCCCCATAAGAAACAGTGGGTCCTCACCAGGCTGTGTAGTTTGCTTCATCTCTAAAGAGATGCTGCTCTTTAATATTGTTTATTTACTGTCTTAGTTGTGTGTGGTGTTTAATTTACATTTTGTTGTTCTTTGTTTTTTTTATTCAAGTGCATTTTTTGTTAGAGACTGAGAGTCCACTTTGTTAAACATTCTTTTAAAAATTAAAGTTTACTGATTTATTACACTTACATATTACACTTTTATAGTTATTAGTTGTAAAATGGTCACCAGGCAATATTATCGCTTATTGCAAAAATTTTTGAGACAATTAATCGCCCATCAAAATTTGTTATCGTGACAGGCCTACCTCTGTATCACTGTTTCCCTCCTCTTGTACATCTTTTCTCTGCCTGGTTGTAGACAGTAATCATACATTTAGGTCCGATTGTGAAGGGTTGAGAAAAAATCATTATCTGGTCTATCGTTGCGCGTTAATAAAACTTAAAAGGACGACTCACCTTGCACACCAGTCAATTTCGCTACATTACAAATCTACTTCCCCCTGGGCTTTTCACAATAGAAGCACGTTAAATTCTGCATGCAGTAACGTCTCCATTATAACGTAGCTCGTTAAATCTAACCGTGCACGACAATGAAGAGTTGTTTACTGTTCAGCGATGGTGAAAACGGGATGTTTTTTTTTACGTCAGACCATATAAGCGGCTGAAACACCACCCGCCACCAGTTGTTCCAACAATAATGTTAGCATGCTAATGCGCTTAGCGGTGCCGCGAGGAAACGTGTCTCCAGGGAAACAGTTCAGTGGCGGCCGCGATGAAACGTTCCGCATGTGTTCAGGCTATTTACACCGGTATTCAGAAAAGTCATATCATAACAAAAATAAAAACCGGTTTTTGGTACAAAACGGTATACCACCCAGCACTACTTCAAATACATATTGTCTTAAAATAAGAAGATGCCAGGGGCGCCCAAACATATTCCCCAAAAGGGCCAAAATGAAAATCTATCTGGGGCTGTGGGCCAAATGCAGTAATATAATTCATTCATCAGTTCATCATGTGATATCCTCATTTCGCTGCATTTTCGCCCGGTACTTTTGCCACGAGCCAGTTTTATAGGGAAATAGGAATTTCCCACTTACAACGTATGTAAATTTAAACTGGAACGCCCCTCCAGTGCGAATTCTCTGTTGGAAAGTGAGAAAGTGCAGAATTTAAGATGACAGCTACTCATCACAACTCTTTTACTTTTAATAATATTTCTTCAGTATTTATTTCACCTTTACTCAGTTATACACATTGTACTTTTCAGTTTTTATAAGAAAACGTGTTAAAACGCTGTTTCAATGCAGGAAATACCAGGTAGAGCTCAGTTAGCATTTGTTAGCGGGGCTCAGTCCTAACAATGAAATGAGTTTCATGTTTTTAGACAAAGTTAATTTAACTGGCCCTTTGAAAGCAGCCATAATGTCCCTGTGGCCCTTGGTGGCACCCGTTTTAAATTGTGTTAATATTTAAAAAACATCATAATTTTAGTTATTTATGTTTAAAAACTGGGAGGATCAAATTAGTCAAATCCACTCTGTGACCACTTGCACCGTCTTGGTTTTCTGGTTCCAATTGTTGGTCCTTCAGTGTGGTACAGAAACCAAACCATAATGGGCCTCATGCAAGAACATTTTCGTCTTCTAAATTTCTCTTACTTTTCTTCGTACGAAGGGTTCGTACAAACATGTCATGTTAGATTCAACAAACTCTTTCATCTTCAGGAAGTGTGTAAATGAGCTGCGTAAACTGATGAATGTGTATCCAGGTGCTCGTGCACGAGGAGAGGAGATTAGCATAATTAGCACCCTAAAACACCATATAAGGCTATGTTTCCTGCCCCACATACCAGGAAGTGTTCATTCATGACATTGCAAAGTAAAATAAGAACTTCACGAGTTTGTAGATTAAAGTCCTGCTCTCAGAGATCTAGAAAAGAAAAAATGTCATTTTTAGCAGCGTCAGGTCTGGACCACTCGTAAATTTTGTTCGTATCTGAAAAAAATCGTATAATACGAAAACATTGGTGAATGCCACAAATTCTCCTAAATCACTCGTATGCACAACTAAAGAACAAATCTGTGCGAACGAACGGTGCATGAGGCCCATTGTTTCTACTTCTGTGCTCGGCTGTAGGAACATTGGGCCTCATGCAAGAACCGTTGGTACGCACAGATTTGTTCTTTAGTTGTGCGTACGAGTGATTTAGGAGAATTTGTGGCATTCACCAATGTTTTCGTATTATACGATTTTTTTCAGATACGAACAAAATTTACGAGTGGTCCAGACCTGTCGTATATTTTACGTGCAGTCAGTCTGCTGTTATCCAGACGGGTTTTCCTCCCTAATAACTTTATATTTCGTTAGTTTGAAGATATTTTGAGTTGAAAATAAATCACACTCCATAATTATGTTGACAATAGGCTACTCTGCTTGAATTAGAGTTATAATTTTAATATATAATATAAATTGCCCGTCCGCCCGGGACGGACGGGGGGGGCAGCAGGAAAAAGACCTCGCTCTCCCCA